TTGAAGAACAGATTAGAAAAAGGAGTTTAGTCCTGACTATAAAGATTTTTTGGATTGCATAATGTAGGCATTTTCTTTTTTTAAGTAATCAGAGGTGAGTTGGGGTTGTTTATTGATTTGTTTGAAGCAGAAGAAAATGACACAATAAACTATACTTTTACAATTAAACTATACTTTTAAAATATATATCTACTGTGTATCTGTAGTACTGAGTATCTACTGTGGTGTAACTATTGAAAAGGAAAGAAGAATGGGGCTATTTCAACAGAAAAAGAGAAAATACGTTCTGGCCAAATTGTTTATTAGGGAAAAGTAAAGCTTGGGGGTATTGGAGTTACTGAAAATTTTTGTATTGGGATATTGGAGAGAGTTGTGTCACTAACATAAATAGGGAATTGGAAAGAAGCAGAACTTCTTTTATATTAGAAAGACAGTAATTTTTGGTTTAGTATCTTACGGAGGTGAAAGTGTGGAATTTGGTAGAGAGATTGGAATGGGAGATGACTTGTATTTTGCATGTATAGTTTAAATCCCAGGAAGTATATAGCAGAGATACCCATGCCCAAGAAAGTAGTGAATGTGTAGGTTTGGATGGCAGAATGAGGGAGTAATCGAGGTAGAACAATACCATTTCACTGAAACACAGGGAGAAATTTTAAGAAGTTGATGTTATGGTGCAGGAAGACTAATTGAAGAGCACTTCTTTACTTTGCTGAAAGACTGTTGAGGAGAGGATGTGATAAATCATTTCCTTCTTCATTCACTGTTGATGAAATTCATCCTTTCTGGGTTTTTTTGTACTGTATCTGTCAGCTCCTTTTTTCTGTTTCTGTCATTTTATGTGTCCATTTTCCCTTCTGCTTCCCATGTAATTCTGTATATTTCTTTTTCTTCTGTTTCCTGCTTGTTCTTTGATCTGTTTCTAGCAATACATTATTCTTGGCTGGATGTGGGATGGAGAACAAAGGAGATGTGAATGTTGTCACTTAGGCCAAATGATTACATGGACTTGACTATGCTGCCGTGACTTACGACATGTATCGTGGACACAGAAAACTATGGTAGTATGAAGCTTTAATGTTTACTGCAAGAATGTATTGTGGGGCTGAGGTTTATGGCTCGAGTGATAGAACATTTGGCCTCTCAAGAATGAGGCCTTGAATTCCAACACTTGTACTGTGCCCAACTCACCCCCAATTTTTTTATTGTAAAGGTGATGTACCAAGGGCTTGCAGTTATATAAGTTAGGTAATGAGTACACTTCTTTTTTTAACAGTGTCACCTCTTCCTTTGCTGTCTCCCAGTTTTTTCCCTCCCACTCCTGTACTTCATTTTCAACATAGTGTCTAGTGCTGCTGCATTAGTTTACCCTTTTTGCCACCATTTCTATGCTTTCCCTTACCTTCCCAAATCAGATAAACTTATATTTGAGACAAAAGATATAGAAATACAAAACAGCAACAAAAGAGAAAAACAGAAAAAGAACACACAAAAAATTAAAATAAACTTCTTGTTTCCATTTCTTGGAGTTCATTTTGATAAGCATCATTTTATATGATCATATGTACACAGCTGTTGAGCCCTTGTGATCCTATCCTAAGAATAGCCTACTATGGTCTCACTGTGTGAATGTTTAGAATCCTGCTTAATTTATCATGTCCAAGTAATTTTTTTTATATTTTATTATCCATTGGATTTACATGAACTTTAAAAAAGATCTTGATATCGAAATATGAGGTTTAATGAATCCAAAATATGGTATTGGGTTTTATCATTTTCTTATGCTATTCAGCCTAATTACATATATATATATTTATGCATATTCAATATACTGTTGTCTTATTTCCTTATAAGTACCACGCGCTAACCGATTGCGCCACTGGAGCTCCTGTTGTCTTATTTCCTATGTTACTTTTGTTCTCTTCTTCATTAACAGTGACATAACCTTGATGTAATATAAGTGAAGTAGAAAAGCACTTTGGTAATTTGAATACAGGGAAAAACTAAGATTATTTTCATTTGTAGGTGTGTGTTTTTGTGTGTGTAGTACCCGTGTGTGTGTGTGTGTGTGTGGTGTGTGTGTGTGTCTTTCTTTCTCTGTGCCTGTGTGTGTGTGTGTGTGTTTTGGTGCCAGTCCTGGGGCTTGAACTCAGGGCCTGGGTACTGTTCCTGAACTGCTTTGGCTCAACCTTCACTCTACCACTTGAGTTTTAGTACTACTTCTGGTCTTTTCTGAGTATTTTATCGGAGATAAGAGTCTCATGGACTTTCTTGCTTGGGCTGGCTTTGAACCATGAAACTCAGATCTCAGCCTCTGAATAGCTAGGACTACAGGCATGTGCCTCCAGTGTCTGGCTTTTCTTGCTCCCCTCCCCTCCTCCAACCCCCCCCCCCCCCCCCCCCCCCCCCCCCCCCAGCCACCGACAGTCTGTCTCACTGTGTTCCTAGGTTGTCCTCAAACTCATGATCTTTCTGCTTTGAACTGAGTGAGATTCTTAGTGTCAGCTATCTGATAGCTAGGTTGTGAATCTCCAGCACTTGGCAGGGGTGAGTTTTTTTTTTTAATAATTTTTTATTGAGATTAAGTGATTACATAGACTTCACAAATTTCACAGTATTGTGGGATAGTGATAGTTAAAGTCAAAAACACATTTAACCTTCACAAGCAAATTGTCATTATCATGGTTTATAAAGTTTGTGAATTCTATAAGCGTTGACAATACAACTATTTCTTCAGTGGCGCTGTAGCTCAAGTGGTAGAGCGCGCGCCTTGAGCTGAAGAGCTGAGGGACAGCGCTCAGGCCCAGAGTTCAAGCCCCACAACCAACAAAAAAAAAAACCCAAAAAAAACCAAAAAGGATTTTTTAAAACAACTATTTCTTCAGGTGATATATACATTTTTTTCTTTTTGCTTAGTGTCAGCTGTTCCCTTCTTCCCTCTCATTCCCTCCCTTCCATCACTGTCCTTGAGATGCTTAGTTCATTTTCTTCATGATGTCCAGTGCAGCTGATGGGCCTCTCTGTTGATTTTTTCCCCATTTCCCTTTGATTCCGTGCCCTCCTCTTGTGTGCGTGCGTGCGCACACACACCCACACACACCCCATATATAAGGTCTCTCACACACACACACACACACACACACACACACCATATATAAGGTCACCAGCATGGAGTCATTTAGAAATGATATGACAAATTAAGTAGAGGTCCTTGTTTCTTGAGTCCTGTTTACTTCGTCGTATCTCTGGCAGGAGTGAGTTTTATAAATAGGAACACATTTTATTATGTTAGAGGCAGATTTGTACTTTGCTGTTTAATCTTCATATGAGCACCATTTTATGACTGAAAGTGCTAAAAACTTGAAAGTGCTAAAAACTTGTGAGTTATTAACTTTTGCAAAAGTTAAACTTGGACATTGGTTTTTTGAGCATGTATGTAGGCTTCCTACTTTATATTATACCGTATATGATATCATATACCATATTATGCATCTATGTGACATCTGGTATGATGTATATGATATATGGTATATATATGTATACATACTATATATAATATGCCATGTACCATAAGTACAGGAAATTTAATGGAGGCAGGTAAGGTTGAATTTTTACAAAGGACAATGCCAGGATAAGAAGCAAAATATTCTAGGAAGAACGAAAGGTAGGTTGGAAGGTAGAAGTATTTTGAGTAGGGTAGATATGCTTATCTTGTTTTGAACAATACAAAACATATCCATGTATTAAAACATCATTGGACTTTGTAAATATATAAATTTACATGTGTCATTTAAAAAATAAGAAAAAGCAACTATTAATGTCTCTAAGGGAAAATGTGAAAATGCCTGAATTTATTCTAGAATTTGTTATTTTCATACACACAAGGACCCCAGCTAGCTTATTTTGCTCACTGTCCTTACCCCTAATATGTGGCATTTCTTATTTGTCCAGTGAATGAGTCCTTGGTTTAGCTTGCTATTGTCCTGTCATTTGCTTATTTTATAGTGCTGTTACTACTACAAAAACACATTTAATTGGTATAATAAAGAACTATCATTTTAAAAAGTTGTATTTTTAAAGCTATTAATGAATAAAGCTCAGAATATTTTTTTTTTTTTGGGTCCGGTCGTGGGGCCTGAACTCTGGGCCTGGGCGCTGTCCCTCAGCTCTTCAGCTCAAGGCTAGCGCTCTACCACTTGAGCCACAGCGCCACTTCCGGCTTTTTTCTTTTTGCTTATGTGGTGCTGGGGAATTGAGCCCAGGGCCTCATGCATGCAAGGCAAGCACTCTACCACTGAGCCACCTCCCCAGCCCAGAATATTTTTATTAAATCACATGGATTTAGTTTTTGAGAATTTAGCTATTAGTAGTTTATAACTATGATATTCAGAGTTGTAGGCATCAATCTTATATGACTATTGAACAACTAAGGTGGAGCTGGTAAAATTTAGATATTTAAAAAGTAAAATATACCCTATAAAATGGTTACAATAATTTTATGAAAAAAAGAATATCTCAATTGTTTAAATATCCCATGTTGAAATGATGCTTTGGCTATATTATCTTAAATACATTATTAAAATTAATTTTACATATTTCTCTGTACATTTCATTTTATTTACTTTCCTGATGTGTTCTAGGATTATTTTTGAGTTAGCATACATTTGTACTATTCTTTTTACATTTTAAATGGGGCTATTAGGAAATTTAAATTTGCATATAGTATTCTTGTTTTGTCCAATGTTGCTAGTTGATAGCTAATCTAATCATTAAGTGATTAAGAACTGGATTGGGATAATATTTACAGAAAGGAAGTAAGGAGAGGTTATAAAGTGATTCTGCAGTACTCATCTGTAAAATTTCTTCAGTTTTATAGAATATTTTATAGTTTTTGTGTGCTTCCATTATGTCTTTGTAATCATTAATTAACATTTGAAGTCAGGCACTATGTCACCATTTTGTGAGTTTAATAACTTTGTTTCCTTCATTTTGTGTTTCAGATAAAGTCAAGGAAAAAATTAAAGAGAGAGACAAAGAAAAAGAAAGAGAGAGAAAGAAACATAAAGTAATGACTGAGATAAAGAAAGAGAATGGAGAAGTAAAAATTTTGCTAAAAAGTAAGTTGATATGCAGTGATTTTCTATATTACAGTGTTTGGTGTACATATTAGCTAAATGATTAAATGATCTTTGGTACTTTTGGCTGAGAATAAATATTAATGGTGAAGAAACTAAAAGCAAATTCAAAATTGAGGAATTTTGATCAGGATGGTAACATTTTCCATGATAACATGTCTTTAGTATACTTATTGAATCATTAAAGAATTCCACAGGTTAAACTTCGCTAAACTATTTCTGCTTTTGAATTATTAGTATTTATCCCTATTTTGGTAACTCAAAATAAAGGGCTAAAGTCATGATTTAGCATGATAATGATGGTGAAAGAAGTGATCTTACAAGTACTTCATTGTAACTACCATATCATAGTCTAGGATTTCAAGGAAACTTTTTTTTTTGTCAGTCATGGGGCATGAACTCTGGGCCTGGGCGCTTTCCCTCAGCTCTTCAGCTCAAGGCGAGCACTCTACCACTTGAGCTACAGCGCCACTTCCAGTTAACTAGTGGTTTATTGGAGATAGGAGTCTCATAGTCTTTCCTGCCTGGGCTGGCTTTGAACCGCTATCCTCAGATCTCAGCCTCCTGAGTAGCTAGGATTACAGGCGTGAGCTCAAGGAAACATTTTACTTTGAGCTAACTCTGCTAAAACTGTGTTTTTTGCATGCCTGAAAATATTCTTTTTTCCTTTTTTCTTATTGTTAAAATTATATTCAGTTACTGTCTACACATGGAATCAGGAAAAGAAATTGGAGAGTCTGGTGGGGGGGAGGATGGGAAGGGATGGGAAGGGGAAACAAAGGAGGAGGCTACAATGCATAATAAGAAATGTACTCATTATCTTGCCCATGTACTTGTAACCCCTCTGCACAGTATTTTCACAATAAAAATAAAAAAAAAGAAATTGGAGAGTCTATAGTAGAGTAGTATGTATAATACAAATCATATCAATAAGTCTGAATGTTTACCAGAGAGAATTTGTGCTAGAATAAAATAAGGAAGGTTTTAAATTCACTTAGCAAGGGAAAAAGAATTATTCATTTGTTAGATAGCTGGGAAAGTCATTGGCCATTTTATCAAGTTGACAGTTGCTGACCAGAACACATTTGATGTTCTGATGAATTTAATATTGAATTTATGTGTTGGGAAGCATTTATCTACATAAAAGGTCCTTTAGCATTGCTTAAACAACAGACTAAATGGTTAGTTTTTATAGTGTAAGGTAAGTATAGTATTAGGTTCTCTGTTTTAATTTCATTGTTTGTATGTTTCCAAATCTGTTTATTTTGCCAATCCTAGAGCTTGAACTGAGGGCTTGAGCATTGTCCCTGAGCTTCTTTTGCTCAAAACTAGCACTCTACCACTTGAGGCACAGCACCACTTCTGGCTTTTTCTGTTTATGTGGTACTGAGGAATCAAACCTAGGGCTTCATGCGTGCTAGGCAGGCACTCTACCACTAAGCCACATTCCCATCCCTTCCAAATATTCTTTAGAGGGACTTTATATATAATGCTCTCTTTCTACATGTCAGAATTTTATTTTCTGTAATATTCTTTCAACCTTGAAGAAATATATTGGGCCTTAATATTGATTTCCTTTTATTCTGGTTCTTTTGCTCAAGTGTTCTATTTGTGCTGTCTATTTAGATTGTAAGCCTTTTAGGCAGGAATGGAATCTAACCACACTAGTGGTATTATATAGCAGCTAATGATTAATGCTTGAAATGTTTACTTAATTGTATCCTCTTGGTTTAGTCAGATACTCATTTTTGCTGATTAAGTCAAGCATTTTCTTACTCATTTGAATGTGCAGTAATAGAAGTTTCTATAACTTGAAAAAGAATCTCTGTCCCAGGAATACTTTATAAAGGATCAGATGTCCTTGGTGGAATAGTAGATTTTTAGCATACTTTTAATAAGAATGATGTGAATGATATAGAAATATATTTATTGTACAGTGGAGGTAAGTAATAAGTTGTAGTGCTTTACAGTATTGTGAAGATTATTGTCAAGGAAAAATGTATGGTATCTGGCCTACAGATGAGAGTCTTATAAACGTGTTTGAAAGATTACCTTTTGTGATTTAATCATAACCAAACCAAAGCTATTCTTCCTCCTAACAATATAGTATGTAGATGATTAAGTGAATAAAAACATGGTTCTATTAAGAAACAGTGATTGTTCCATTATAAGCACTGAAAAAGTACGTTATAATCAGCAATTTGCTTAGCATGTGTGGCAACTTCCATAGTGAGTTTATGGTCAGGGAACAGCATCCTCTGTTGGTGTTTTGGAATGGCAGAATTTGTTTGGGGCAATGCCTTATTATTATTGTTAGACTCCTTTTTCCTTATGCCTCCAGCTTTTATTTGCTCCTTATAATACTAATGTTGCAAGCTGCAACATATACAAGCAGGCTGTGTTTGATAAAAATATTTGAAAATATTAAATAGATGCTAACTCTATTTCACATTAATCTCATTGTTTTCATTATGTTTGTGTTGGGTTGTGCGATTAGAAAGGTATATATAAGTTATGTGCATGAGAAAAGCTTGCTTACCCTTCCCTCCCTTCGTTTCTTCCTACCTCTTCCCCTCTCTCCCTTTCTTTAAACTCAGTCTCTACCACGGGAACTGATAGAAACTGGGATCATTTGCTTTTTTGGGGGGCTGGGGAGACTTGAACTCTGGGCCTGGGCGCTGTCCTTCAGTTATTCAGCTCAAGGTTAGTGCTCTATCACTTAAGCCACAACACTCCTTCCAGTTTTCTGATGATTAATTGGAAAAGTCTCATGGACTTTTCTTGCCCAGGCTGGCTTTGAACCGCAATCCTCAGATCTCAGCCTCCGTGAGGAGCTAGGATTATAGGTGTGAGCCATAGGCACCGGGCTTGATCATTTGCTTTTCAAAACAGCTTAGTTTAAGGGAACAAATCAAATTTGAAATATAAGCTTATTTAGTGTGTCTCATTTTTTTATATTAAAGTGCATCAACTATGCTTTCTGAGCATAAGTTAAGTGTTCTGGTTATTTTATGTAGTTCATATGGTTAAGATGTCAGAATAGCCAGGTGCAAGTGGCTCAAGCCTATAATCCTAGTTACTCAAGGAGGCTGAGATCTGAGGATTGCGGTTTGAAGCCAGCTCATATCTAAAATTAACCAGCATAAAGCTAGGAGTGGAACTGTGGTTCCAGTGGTAAAGCACTTAAAGGGCAGTGCCCAGTCTCTTAAGTTTAAGCCCCAGTACCTAACTCCCCCCCCCCCCAAAAAAAAAAGTCAGAATATATGTGTGACAATTAAAGTTGGTGTTGGTTTTTCTTTTGTGCTAGTGCTGGGGCACTGTCTCTAAGACATAGCTCCATATCTGGCCTTTTTGCTGGTTAATTGGAGGTAAAAGTTTCCTGGACTTTCCTACTCCAGATAGCTTTCAAACCATGATCCTCAGATCTCAGCCTCCTGAGTAGCTAGGATTACAGGCCTGAACCATTGGTGGCTGGCTATAATTAAAGTATGTTTGACAGTAAATTTAACACTATAGTATTTTAAAGAAGATTGCTCATGAGATGGTGGTAATTGGGGCTAAGAGAAGGTGGTATCCAATCTTATTGCTAATGGACTAAAAGAAGAATGATAGCATTGCAGTTTGAAAAATCAAAGTTGTTCTCCAAGGACCAGAGATTAAAAGTTGCCAAGCTAATTACTTGTTTTCTATGTAGTTGTTTGTTATATTTCCTATGTTACATAGGAAATAAGAGTCAATTTTTCTGGATAACTTATTTTTTATTCTCTAGATACAGAAATGTAGTTGTACAAGTGATTGATTGATTAATTAATTAAATTTATTTTTGTGCCAGTTTAGGGGCTTGAACTCAGGGCCTGGGAGTTGTCCCTGAGCTTAATTTGCTCAAGGCAGTGGCTATACCACTTGAGCCACAGCTCCACTTTTGGCCTTTGGTGGTTAGTTGTAGGTAAGAGTCTCTCAGGTTTGTCTGCATAGGCTGGCTTCATACTGTGATCTGGGAGGTGCCATGAGGACCCACAGGACTCAGCATACAGTTGTACTTCTGGCTATGATTTATTATAGTGAGAAGATAAAAAGTAAAATCAGCACAGAGAACAGACACATAGGATAACCATACTCACATTAACAAGAATCCTCTCCCAGTGCAATCCCATAGGATGTACTTGTTTCTGCAGTGAATTGTGATAGCATATGGGAATTGTCTACCAGAGAAGCTTATTAGAAAACCAGTCCCCAGGATTTTATTGGTACACGATCACATTGGTACCATCTAGCATGAGCAGAAAATCTTTCAGACTCCCAGATAGAAAGTAAGTGTTCAGTGTACACCATATTGTTTGTGCAAATACAATGAACCACTGTTACTAGGGAATGATGGGAACTCAAAAAATACAAGTTTCCAAATGCAAGCCAGTGGCAATCTTACAGCAGGTCTTTCTATAGATTTTAGTCTCAGGTATATTATCTCTTTTGCACACTGTACTCCTTATAGTATTTGATGACAAGTAGACTGCTATAGGAATTTAACTCCTTAATGCTCAAATGAAGAATCTCTTAGCTAAGTATGATGGTTCACACCTATAATCCCAGGTGCTTTGGAGGAGGAGGATCAAAGTTGAAGAATAGCAGAGTAAAATAGTCATATCTCATTTTAACAAACAAGCTGGGTATGGTTGATACATCAGTGCAATCTCAACTACATGTAAGGCTTAGATAGGAGTATTGCAGTATGAGGCCCACACCAGGCAAAGAGTGAGACCTTGATGAAAAATAATCTAAAAACAAAAAGAGCATGACTCAAGTGGTAGAAAGTTAGCAAGTGGGCGTCCTTAAGTTCAAACCACAGTGCTGCCAAAAAGATTTTAAAAAGCAAATTTTTACTTGATTTCTTACTGGTTTACTTTCTTGATGGTTTGCATTTTTCAGTTCTGACTTCTTTATTGATTCATCTTCATGTCTAGGAAATTGGCAAAATGTTGTACCTATTTCATTTCAAAGTAACACATGTTCTAGTTATTGGTTATTTTTTTATATTTATAGAAATGTGTTAACTGAATGTAGTATATAAAACATTTTTGCCGGATGCCGGTGGCTCACGCCTAATCCTAGCTACTGAGGAGACTGAGATCTGAGGATCATGGTTCAGAGCCAGCTTGGGCAGAAAAGTCCATGAGACTCTTATCTCCAATTTACCACCAGAAAACCGGAAGTGGTGCTGTGGCTCAAGCGGTGGAGCGTTTGCCTTGAGCTGAAGAGCATAGGGATAGCGCCCAAGCCCAGAGTTCAAGCCCCACGACTGACAAAAAACAAGCAAACCAACAAAGCCCCATGACTGACAAAAAACAAGCAAACAAACCATTTTCACTTAAATGAGGTTGCGTGTATTTCAGAAAAACATTTAATTTATGTACTTTTAAATATATTTTTACTTGTAAAGTTATAGAATGCTGTTAATCATACTATGTTTTACAAGCCTTTATACATTTAATGTTTTACAATTAAATGTTTATATTTTACTATGATCTTTTTTTTCTTTTTGGCAGTGTTTGGGTTTGATCTCAGTACCTCAGACTTGGTATGCAAATGCTCTACCACTTGAGCCTCCACCAGCCCTATTTGATTTTATTATTTTGAGACAAAGTCTTGAACTTATGCCCAGGCCTACCGGAGCATGTTCTTCCTACTTAGGCTTTCTGAAAAGCTGGGCTAATTAACAGGCATGTATCACTACACCTAGCTTTTACTGGTAGAGATGAAAGTTCTGTGAACTTTTTCTCTCAGCTGGTTTGGAACCAAGATCTTCCTGATCTCTACCTCTCAAGTAGCTAGGATTACAGGTGTGAACTACCATTTTTTTTATTTACTTAGCTTTTGCTTACATAAATAAACTTCTCATTTTTTTTTTTTTTGGGTCCAGTCGTGGGGCCTGAACTCTGGGCCTAGGCACTGTCCCTCAGCTCTTCAGCTCAAGGCTAGTCCTCTACCACTTGAGCCACAGCGCCACTTCCGGCTTTTTTCTTTTTGCTTATGTGGTGCTGAGGAATCGAACCCAGGGCCTCATGCATGCAAGGCAAGCACTCTACCACTGGGCCACCTTCCCAGCCTCATTTTTCTTTTTGGTTAGTCTATTTTCTTTTGCAAAAGTGATTTTACTTTTAAGATAATAACTTGCATCTTTTATTTTGATAGTGAATACTTAGAATTTTTTTCAGATTTATTTCTTATTGACTCTTGAGAGAACTAAACTTTTTCTTTTATGAGTTTACAAACTTACTCACTGAGTAATATTTAATATTTCTTTGTTGTTGTTGTTGGTCATTAGGCTTGAACTCAGGGCCTGGGCACTGTTTCTGAGCTTTTTTTGTTCAAGGCTAGGGCTCTACCACTTTGAGCTATAGTACCACTTCTACTTTTTTGTTGGCTAATTGGAGATGATAATCTCACAGACTTTCTTGCCTGGACTGGCTTTAAATATCCATCATCAGATCTTAGCCTCCTAAGTAGCTTGGATTCCAGGTGTGAACCACTAGAGCCAGGCTCTATTTTTGCTTTTCACAATGATACTGATTTTATTCTTAATTGCATACTTATGAATCTTTTCTGTGAGCTTTAAAAAGTGATTGATATTAATATTAAACTTCCTTTTTAGGCATTTGCTATCAACAAGATACTTTTTGTTGTTATTTCCAGAAATAATGGAAAGACTTGACTGGAAACGGATGGGAAAATCCTGTAATTCTCAGATAGTTATCTTTTTGGAAAGACAGGTCTTTTTGTTTACAGATTTATTAAATATTTGTGCATAGCTGTGTTCTAGATAGTATGAGGGATTCAATAATAGAAAACAAGTGTCAGTATTTTCAGACTCTGACTCTGAATTCAGGTAAAATTTATTTATTGTATTTGTACAGTGTTCTGAGACAAAACATTGATATATACATCATATTAGTAAACAAATCACCTTTGTCTGAATTAGAAGGGAAGTAATTTCAGTGCAAGAGACAGAGAGAAAAAGAGGTGAGAGAATGTAAGGAGACAACGTAAGAGTTTTCTTTAAAAGGTAAGTTAGAAAGAATTCGTTAGTAAGTACTGAACATGGCAATGATATTTTAGGGGGAAGAATTGCTTTTGCCAGTAGAAGATAGATAAGGTAGAACTGGGTGTGGGTTTTTTGTTTGGTTGGGTTTTGTTTTCTCTTTTCATTATTTTGCCACTCCTGGGCTTGAAGTCAGGGCTGGGTGCTGTCCTTGAGCATGTAGTGCCTGTCACTTCGGGTGTTTTTTGAGTAGGTCGTTGGAGGCAAGAGTCTCATGGACTTTATTGCCTGAGATGGCTTTGAACTGTGATTCTTAGATCTAAGTATGGTTGTTGTTGTTTTTTTTTTGGGGGGGGGGGTTGGTTGTAGGGCTTGAACTCTGGGCCTGGGCACTGACTCAAGGCTGAAGAGCTCTACCACTTGAGCCACAGCACCACTTCTGGTTTTCTGGTGGTTTATTGGAGATAAGAGTCTCACATACTTTCCGGCCCAGGCTGGCTTTGAACTGTGATCTTTATATCTCAGCCTCCTGAGTAGCTAAGATTACAGGTGTGAGCCACTGGCGCCTGGCCCAGGTATGTTTTATAGAAAAATTTAAACGGTGTAGTTTGACCTGAGCCTTAAATACTGGATGGATATTAATTCCATATTTAGAGATTATAACTTATAGGTGTTGAAAGCCCCTGAACACACTTGAGCCAGGGGATGAATATGACTGGAATGATACAAAATAATGATAGAAATGGTAATATGGTTTTATCATTCTGGACAAGAGACAATCATATGTCTTTAAGACCAAAAATTAAGACAGAGATGTTCAGACCAGTTCAGACCAACAATAAGAAGAACTGTAGTTGTGTGAAATGATAGAGCAATTTGGAAGGGGACTTGAAAATATTGGACTTGGTTCAACATTCTGATAAAGCAAATTTGGTTATATTGAAAGCAGAACACTCAGTAAAACATATAAGCAACTTAAGAATGCTAGATGTTCTCTTGTAAGTAGAAGAGAAGGCTGTAAATATTCGCTAATACTGTTTTTTTTGGAGCTGGTAGGAGGGACTTAATTTTGAAGATAGAATATCTCTTTCCCTGAAGACAGAAAGTAATGAGGTATGTGAAGATGGAAAAGTTTATGTAGAAAAGTATGTGGGGATAACTTTATTCATGGCAGGTTATCTCTGAAAATGAATTAACAAGCGGAGTATTTTAGGAATCTTTTCTTATAGGCTGCTTTCTTATTTCTAATTTTATTGATTAGAAAGGAGTATCCTGTGATAAAGTATGTATACACCTTTTATTCTTTGAATTTAAAATTCATGAGCCCATTATACTTGCTTTTGATCACAAAAACTCTTTAGTTTATAAGCTTTAATGTCCCATTTCTTTCTCTTCGTTACCATTTTGCTTGCTCTTTACCAGCATATGAGTATTATTGGAGCTTAGGATATGAGAGATGATTTTTTTTTTTTGTCAGTTGTGGGGCTTGAACTCTGGGCTTGGGTGCTGTCCTTGCGCTCTTCAGCTCAAGTCGAGTGCTCTACCACTTGAGCCACTGCGCCACTTCTGAGAGATGATTCTAATTTTGTCATGATAACTTGCTGGATCTTCACTTGGACATTTGGAAACTGGTAGAGTTAGCCCATTTTTAGATGCAAACATGGTTTACCAAGAAGTACATAAAAAGGACAATAACAGCTTGTTTACTGTTATGCTAAACAAATGTTTTCTACTTTAGGATATAAATCAGTTTGGCATATAGATGCAATTTTTAAGCCTGAGAAAGAGTAAAAATAATAATTATATACCAGTGAGAAATATATGGCTAGTATCCCTTTCTGGATTTCTGTTTTAAAAATTGGAAGATTATATTTTATGAAACACTTATTCATCTAATTACTTCAAGAAACAGAATTTGTTGGATATCAGAATGATATAACTCAATCCTAAGCCACCATGTTTGTTTGTGTGTAGAAATACAAAAATAAGAGAGACCATAACTACATACTGATTATCAATACTGTTTAAAATAAATTCCAAATAGAAAACAGCTTCTGAGTAAGTCTTCAGAATTAAACTTATTACAACAGTTCATAGGAACATGATTTTTAAAAGTAAAATATGGAGTTTCAAAAAACATTTTTCCCAACAGGTGGGAAGGAGAAACCAAAAACAAATGCAGAAGACTTACAAATTAAAAAGGTAAAGAAGAAAAAGAAAAAGAAACACAAAGAAAATGAAAAACGAAAACGTCCAAAAATGTATAGCAAATCTATTCAGACCATCTGTTCAGGATTACTGTCTGATGTTGAAGATCAAGAAACCAAAGGCATCCTGAGTGATACCATAAAGGATTGCATTGGAAAGAATTTGGATACCAAGAACTACGATTCTAAAATTCCAGAGAACAGTGAGTTTCCATTTGTCTCATTAAAGGAACCACGAGTTCAGAATAGCCTCAAAAGGTTGGACACTTTGGAATTTAAGCAGCTTATTCATATTGAGCACCAGCCTAATGGAGGAGCATCAGTTATCCATGCTTACAGTAACGAACTCTCCCGCCTATCTCCTATGGAGATGGAGAGGTTTGCAGAAGAATTTGTGGGTCTAGTGTTCAGTGAAAATGAAAACTCTGCAGCTTTCTATGTTATGGGTATTGTTCATGGGGCAGCTACTTATTTACCTGACTTTTTAGACTACTTTTCATTTAATTTTCCCAATTCACCAGTGAAAATGGAAATATTGGGAAAGAAAGATATAGAAACAACGACTATGTCAAATTTTCATGCTCAGGTAAGAGGTTTTTAGTTTCATTTTTTAAAAAATAGTTCTTAATTGTACATTTTAGACAGATTTCTATTTTTTGTTTCTAATCTTGTAGGTTTGAAATAAAAAGGTAAGCATATAAAACATTTGGAAGTTTTAAGAGATTTTCTTGATGTAAATATTCGAGTTTAAATTTGTTTCTACTTTTTTTCTTAAAGATGATTAATGAACTTAAGATTCTGTACATTTTTTTGGGCGAAGGTTTGTCTTAGACCTAATAAAATTAAACTTAACCATGTATTTTATGATCTTTAAATAGTTTTATTTCCTAAAAACCATCTAAAATGTCTTGTTATAATGTTTATGAAGTGCTTAATGTGGGACCATCACAAAGAAGATGCTGAGAATGAATATTGATTATTAAATATATTGTGGGACAAAGGAGTTACCACTTATGTGTAATTATGTAAGAATATTAGGGCATATATTAAGTTAATTTCTGTTTCCTTCCCTTCTCTACAATGTATAACAGTTGATTCTAGAACATTGACAAAATTGAATTCACTATCTTTTTTTTTTGTGTGTGTGTGGTTGTGGGGCTTGAACTCAGGGTGCGGGTGCTGTCCCTAAGCTTTTTTACTCAAATCTAGCACTCTGCTACTTTGAGTCACAGTACCACTTCTGGTTTTTGAGTGGCTAATTGGAGATAAGGGTCTTGCGGTGACTGTCCTTCCCAGGCTGGCTTCGAACCATAATTCTCAGATCTCAGCCCCCTGAGTAGCTAGGATTATAGGTGTGAGCCACTGGCAGGCACCCAGCTAGAATTCACTAGTTCTTGAAAGTAATTGTAGGCCCATCTAAAAACCCATTGTCATTGTTATTGAACTCAAAATTAGGAGTTACTAAGGCTATGAGATTGGACATGTGTATTGCTGCTATGGTATTTTTTTCTAGGCATAGTAATAATCAACAATATAGTTTACAAAGAGGAGAAAGGTAAAGAAAGTCTCAGGGATTGTAGTAAACATTTTATCATAACTCTTTTGTACCTTCAGATACGCCATAATAGTAGAGAAGTAACTTACTATTTTAGAGTCATCACTACCAGGAATAGAACATATTCACCCTAATCTTTAGGATCTTTTTTTTTTGGTCAGTTGTGGGACTTGAACTCTGGGCTTGGGTGCTATCCCTGCGCACTTCAGCTCAAGGCGAGTGCTCTACTGCTTGAGCCACAGCGCCATTTCCAGTTTACTAGTAGTTAATTGGAGATAAGAGTCTCAATGGACTTTTCTGCCCAGGCTGGCTTTGAACTGTAATCCTCAGATCTCAGCCTCCTCAGTAGCTAGGATTACAGGTGTGAGCCACCGGTGGCGGCCTGCTTTAGGTTTCTTTACCTTATTCTCATATATTCTTTTTGTCAATTGATATTCAAGATAAGATCTCCACCTTAAATTATAGTTGAGATATTCAATCATGCTCATATGTCCTAGCTAATACATACCATATGCTTGGTGTGTATTCTGTAGTGTAAAGTAGCCTAGAGATGTTTAATGTGTGTAATATGTAGAAGGAATTACTTCCAAATGTAGTGTGTTTGAGAATTAGAATTTAAATTTTGTTTTGTTTTTTTTAGAATGGGGAGAGAGTTAGATTATTAAAATAGAATGGCTATAAACTTTTTTGGGGTTATACCTGAGTTTGGCTGCAGAACCAAGATTAGCATTTAATAATAGTGTGTACCATTTATTGAGTACTGACTGTCCCAAAGACTGTTGTAAATTTTGTATGTAATAGCTCACTTAATCTTCATTACAATATATTTTAACAGTCAAGTAGCAGATACACTAAATGGGCAGGTGAAAGAAGATATAACTGCCTCAAAGTCCATTAGTGGTAGATTATTTCATGCATAGATCCTTATAAGGATTTACTGCTAAGCCATGCCTCTGGTTCTGCTTTTCATTGCTACTTTTAGGGTGAAGTCTTGCTTCTCAACTGAGTGTTCACCTTAGTTATAGTCTGTCTACTTTAGGTAGACTTTTTGCAGTTGCTAGGATCACAGGTGAGCACCACTACATTCATTTTCTGTCTGTAGATTTGTAATCTAGTGGACTTTGCCTGTGCTGGCCTTTCCTGCAATTCTTTCAGATCTTAGCCTTCCAAGTAGCTAGAATTATAGGCATGAGCCACTAGCCCCTGCCAAGAACTTCTACTTTAAATATCTACTATGAGCAATATGAAAACTGCTTTTGCTATCAAATAAATTGAGCTGCCAAGACAGGTGTGTAATCCCAGCTACTTGGGTGGCAGAAGGGAAAGTAATGGATCACAAGTTCAGGACTAGCCTTGACAAATTAGGTCAGGGCTAGTGGGAGTGCTCTCAAGTGGTAAACAGTTGAGTATATGCAAAGCCCTAAATTTAATTCCCAGTACTGGGAAAAAGAGTCTCGTTTTATATCTTAAATCCTTTCTTGATTTTATATCTTAAATTCTTTATGTGGCAAACACATTTTTTCAATTGCCAGCTGTGGTTTTGGCCCATATCTCTGGTCTATCCTCCTGACCCACACATGTTAGCTGCAGGATTATTTTGCTTCCTTATCTGTAGGTTTTTTTTTTTTTTTTCTCTTTTGTGGGTTGTGGGGCTTGAACTCCAGGCCTGGATTGTGTCCCTGAGCTTGTTTGCTTAAGACTAACACTCTATACTTGGAGCCACAACTCCACTTCTGGCTTTTTGATGGCTAATTGAAGATAAGAGTTTTATGGACTTTTCTTCCCAGGCTGTGATCCTCAGATCTCAGTTTCCTGAGGAGCTAAGATTACTGGTGTAAGCCCTTGATATTTAGCTTCTTAGCTGTAGATTTAAAGGCAAGGAAAGGACATGTGCCCATCCTCTTATTCCTATGAAGTAGAGAAGAAAATATAGTGAACTTCCCTTAACTCCTCACTTGATATTTTTCTTGTGTTAGACTCTTGTGTTTTTTGAGGGAAGGAGACTGAAGGTTTTGTCAAAGTGGGCTTATCCTTATGTACTGGCTTTATGAAACTAAAGTGGGATCTAAAAGACATTATAGTCAAACTCATTTTAGTTCTATTTCTAATTTCTTTTATCTTTTATTCCGCTCTTTTATCTTTCCAGTAAAGCTAGTTCCTCTTAACCTAATTTGTGGCATCTTCCAGGAAATTTTTTGTGTGTGCCTATTCTGGGGCTTGACTCAGGACCTGAGCCCTGTCCCTGACCTTTTTTTTTTTTTTTAAATTTTATTTTATTTTATTTGAGAACATACTGTACAGAGGGGTTACAATTACATGGGCAGGATAATGCATACATTTCTTACCAAGCATTGCAGCCTCCTCCTTTGTTTCCTGACCTTTTTTGTTGTAAGCCAGCACTGGACTACTTGACCCACAACTCTACTTCTGGCTTTTTTGGTGGTTAATTGTAGATAAGAGTCTCACAGAGGGCTGGGAAGGTAGCTTAGTGGTAGAATGCTTGCCTTGCATTCATGAGGCCCTGGGTTCAATTCCTCAGCACCACATAAGCAGAAAAAGCGGGAAGTGACACTGTGGCTAAGTGGTAGAACGATAGCCTTGAGCTGAAAAGCTGAGGGACAGCACCTAGACCCAGAGTTCAGGCCCCACGACTGACCCCCCCCCAAAAAAAAAAAAAAAAAAAGTAAAGTAAATAAAGAGTCTCACAGACTTTGCTGCCTGGGCTAGCTTTGTACTATGATCTTCAGATTTCAGCCTCCTGAGTAGCTAGGATTATAGGGAGAGCCACCAGTGCTTGGCAGCAATTTATTTATTTATTTTTTAACTGTATTTTTTTGTCTTTTCTTTTTTGGTACTGGGGATCGAACCCAGGACGTTGCACTTGCTAGGCAAGCGCTTTGCCACTGAGCTACATCCCAGCCCAGCAATTTATTTTTTAAAAAAGGCATTTTACTGAAATATAATATGTGCGTAGAAAAGCTAGCACATTACAGATGAATAGCTTATGAGTGCTTATAAAGTAAAGGTAGCATGATGTAAAATGTTATATATTACTAGTAGCCAAGCCTTTCCCAAGCCCTCTTCATCATTACTCTGCCTACTCTAGCCCACTAAACACCCAGGTGTCCACAGTACTGACTTTAAATACCACTGATAAATTTAGGTTGAACTTTAAACTTTTATTTGATGGAATTAAGCAGTACATTCATTGTTATATATGGTTTCTCGTATTTAGTGTTATGTTTGTGTTATTCATCCATCTTGAAGGTAGCAATCTTTGACCATCCCTCTGTCCCTCTGTCCCTCCCTCGTGCCCTCCCCCCTTAATGCTTCCTGTATGCTAGGTAAGCAGTCTGCTATTTGAGTTATGTTCCTAGCCTGCTATGTTTTTTTTTTTTTAACTGCTATATAGCAATCCATTATAGGATTCTATCATGGTTTAATTATCCTGTTTACTCTAAATGGACATTTGAGTTGTTTCCATTGTGGACCTATGGCAAAACAAGGATATTATGAATGTATTTGTACATGTTTGATGAACTTATGTGTTTCTTGATTTGAGTATACACAATTGAGTATATAAGACTGGAATTCAGGATTAAAGAGATACAAGTATTCAATTTTGATAGACCTACTATTTCCAAAGTTATTGTGACAGTTTACATTTCTACCAGCAACTGCATTTTTGGTTATACTTAGGAGTAATTCTCTTTGGTTTTTCTATTTTTTTAGTTAAGTTGGTATTTATATAGTGGTACCTCCCTATGGTTTCATTTCTTTTTTCCTGATGACTAAGGATGTTAGCTACCTTTTAAAATGATTATTGTCAAGTTGAATATCCTCTTTTGTAAAAAGAATCTGCTCTGTTATTTTCATATTTTCTTATTTGTCATTTTTCCCAATTTACAACTTATTTATATATTAACATGAAAAATTTTTGTTATCAGCTAAATCCTAAGTATTTCTTCTCGCTTGGTATCTTGTTTGTTTTTTTCCTTCTTTTTTTTCTGTATTGGTCCTGGAACTTGAAC